TTTCGTTTGATGTTAGTGCAACAATTTTGTTAGAAGTAAAGGGTTATTTTTATTTTTGTAAATAATATAACTTTTTCTATTCAAAATATAATCTCTATAATATTTTTATACCATTTTATATGCTGTGACCATTTTATAATATAGAAAATTATTATTTTGCAAAATACGCCTATGAAATGTGACCTTATATCCCCACTTTTACTGCACTCCTCTTTTATTCAAACCCACTTTTTTTAAAACTAAATGTCTTTAATAAGTCATATAAACGCACGCTACAGGTCGTTGAGAATAAAAATAATGATTATTATACCAGGTCTTCAACAATACCCGAAACCCACGTGATCTGATAACCATCAAAAACCCATCGAAAGGGCCTGATTTGACGTACAAGGAACTAAACTGAACTGTCAGTCCTGTCAGAAATGTCACTGGCGTTCATTTGGGGACTGGCAGGGACTGGGAATATTTATATTATATTTGTTTACATTTTATAAACACCTTTATTGGCTTTATTCCATTTTTCATTTAATATTAATAGAGCAATTAGTTATTTTTAGAGATTATTGGTGGCTTAATTCTTTTTTGTTGGTAAGTACAAATTTATTTACTGTAACTAGAAAAAGTTAATGACTATATATCATTTATTTCAGGTAACTGGAACAAAATTATTTTATATTCGTAATTGTATTCCAAAATTTGAGGAACGTTTTCCAGGTGAATAAATGGAATGTGATTCTTTTTTGTCGTCATAAACAAATATTTGTTCAAAATTATAAAAAAGGAGAAGCTCTAAAAGGCCCAAAGTAATAACAAAAGCTGTTGAAGATGTACAAATTAACATGGTGCAAATTCCCAACAAATTAGTAAAAAAAAAACAGCACCTCAAACAGGTATGAACGGGGTTTCAAAGACTGACTGACAAGTGAAATTCAAAACATATTTTTTTTAGGTTTGTCGCTACGAACTAGTCATAAAGTATTGAAAATATTTCTGATAATGTATCCCCTATAAAGTTTCGGTAATGCAACAAACATTTTACCCTAATTTTGTTAAACCTACCTATGGAATATTACAGATTGCTCAATTCAAAATCGTTTGTGTGACGTTTATGAACCCGAGCACCTATATTAAATGAAATACAAAATATAACTGAGGATAAACTGCATAATGTGTTCAAAAAAGAATTGATGCTTGCATTAAAGCAGGTGGTAAAGATTTTAAACAGATAGGTACTGGAATTAGTATCGATTGTGCACCACCGATTACTACTCAATATCCTTTTAAATAAAATAGTTGTTAATAGGTATGCCTTTATAATTTAGAGTGAGAAGTGAGAGCTGTAAGGTAAAACAAATACGTGCTTGTTACATTAATAATATTAATATTTTTTGTATACATATGAGTAATAATGTATTTTGTAAATGGTTTAAGCAATGTAACAAATAAATGATAGAACACAATTAAATTATATTTGTTTATTACTTCCCATTGCCCACGTACAATTCCAGTAAGTTTTAAATTTGTTTACTTAAACTGCAATAATTGCCAAATACTGCCATTGTCTTCTGCCTATCGTATTTAAAGTTTCAGCTGTAGCTAAATATCTTAGAGTCAATCTAAAGTAAATAGTATTTAATGTTATTCAATTTTTAATGCATATTTCAGTTTATTATTCTTTTCGTTAAATACAAACTAGATATAATAATATAACAGCTCAGTTTTTAAGGTTACGTTAATTATAACAATGTTAAAATTTAAATTATTGCATTTGACTAAATCTAATTAAAATATCGAATTCTAACATTAAAATACAATAATGTAAAGCACCTCTAATTAATATTATGATTTTGTGTTTTAATTCTAACAGTTACCTAACTGAATTTTCTTCTCGTAGTTGCAGACCATAAAAAAAGAAGAAGATCTATTTTGTAATAAAATACCTACGGCACTGGCTCACATCTAGGGATTTTTACTTTTATTTTCACCAATCGCTGTCATGACGATTTGGTCACGTGGGTTTTCGGTATTGTTGAAGACCCAGTATATGTTCTATTAATTTGTCAATAAAATTATGCATAGGCAACTAACGATACAAGAAAGTAATAATATTGGTTGCCTAGATGTAAGTTCATGTTGCGGGACTTTGCTCTACGCTTCTCGCAAATATTCACTCGTTGTAAAAAATAAGGCATTTCGTAACTGTTTTCATAAATAGCTATTATGTATGTGTAAATAAAACCACGGATAGCAATTTTATTTTTTGTTACTAAGTGCAGATCATGGATATCCGTTCTAAATTTAATTTTGTTATACAAGTACAGGAGACTTCTCGTTTAAAGAAAAATAGCCGAAACTTACAATGATTGCACACAATGTACACACATGACTAACCTAGTCCCTTTAGTTTATGATAAATTCTGTTTCTCTTCCGAATACTCATACATTAATTGTAAGCATGAATTTTGCACTTTGTGAACACGGTATACATAGGGATGCCACCTGTACGAGTTTCACCCGGACTGTCCGGGTTTTGAACAATTTGTTCGGTTTCCGGTCGCATGATGAACATGTCTGAGAATATCTGGATCAGTTTTTTAGGTAGCTCAAGAGAAGAACCTGGTTTATAAAATTATAAACTGAGGACTTTTTTTTCTTTAGAAGCTCAACATACGGAGAGGGGTGGGATTCCGTTCTGTGTCGAGTAACTCGATCTAGATACTATTCATAATTCGATCGAAATATCGAAAAATCGAAAAATCGAATAATCGAATAATCGAAAAATCGAAAAATCGAAAAATCGCAAAATCGAAAAATCGAAAAATCGAAAAATCGAAAAATCGAAAAATCGAAAAATCGAAAAATCGAAAAATCGAAAAATCGAAAAATCGAAAAATCGAAAAATCGAAAAATCGAAAAATCGAAAAATCGAAAAATCGAAAAATCGAAAAATCGAAAAATCGAAAAATCGAAAAATCGAAAAATCGAAAAATCGAAAAATCGAAAAATCGAAAAATCGAAAAATCGAAAAATCGAAAAATCGAAAAATCGAAAAATCGAAAAATCGAAAAATCGAAAAATCGAAAAATCGAAAAATCGAAAAATCGCAAAATCGAAAAATCGAAAAATCGAAAAATCGAAAAATCGAAAAATCGAAAAATCGAAAAATCGAAAAATCGAAAAATCGAAAAATCGAAAAATCGAAAAATCGAAAAATCGAAAAATCGAAAAATCGAAAAATCGAAAAATCGAAAAATCGAAAAATCGAAAAATCGAAAAATCGAAAAATCGAAAAATCGAAAAATCGAAAAATCGAAAAATCGAAAAATCGAAAAATCGAAAAATCGAAAAATCGAAAAATCGAAAAATCGAAAAATCAAAAAATCGAAAAATCGAAAATTTTGGAAAAATTGAAGTTGAAAATGAATATTGATCCACAAGAATCCACAACAAAATATGGGACCACCATTGACGCGGTATTTTCCAGATATTTAGAGGATATCAAGTCTCAAACTTATGGTTCTTATTTCAGTTACCATAAACCTATAATTTCAATGATAAAAATTCCTGAATAACCTACATGTATTGTAAGATAATAAAAATATTTTAAACAATATTAACTTCTCATTTATTTATAAAAGAAAAAAAATTGTTTTCTTATTGGTCTCCACGCTTAAAAAGTGTAACTTGAATTAATATCAAAGAAAAAAAATAATTCATAAATAAAATAAATAAATCATTATTATTGCATAAGTTGATAAAAAAATGCTATGCAATAGCTTTATTGCGGCAGTATCCGAGGTCCACAAGTATTTTTTTTTTTTTTTTAATTTCACAAATGAAGGTCCAGGATTAAGAATTTCACATATCAAGGTTCGGTTTTTTTTTTAATTTCACAAAAGTCCGGGTTTTGAGAAATGAAAAGGTGGCAACCCTAGATATACATTCAATTACATAAGAAAAGGACCATAAACTGTCTCACAAAGAGTAAATTGTGAAAAATCTAATGAAACCGTTTACATTTTTTTATTTGTTTGAAAATTTAAAATCGATGGGAATAAATTAATCTTCTTTTATATTTTTCGGTTATGTGTTTATCAAAATAAAGTTTAGAGTCAAAAAATAGTTTTTAAAATTATGACTAAAAGCTACAATGTCTGAGCCTATATAAGTCCGTAGTTATTTCATAGCCAGCAGCCCATGTGTTTCATATCTATTGTTTATTTGTATTTGTTTTTATTGCCAAAAAAAAAAAAAAACAAAAAACGTGATAGCATTAAAAAAAAATAAAAACAAAATATTTTTAAAAATTTAGTAATAAATTGATACTTGCTTTTTATGTATTTTGGTGATGCGCCAACTTTTATTAGCCAAGTAATTTTCAGAGAAATTCATAATAAAAAATCGACACGGTGCAGATTATTGGTCGTTAATTATACAAATGTACTGTGTGATTTATTGCATCTTACTTATGATTGGACAATAAATAGTTTAATTTTTTTTCTAATAAAACATTACACCTACTATCTATAATTTCTTTTGCATCTGTTTTGACTGAAAGTACAGTATTAAATTTGATCTTTTACGTAAATCTTATGTATTAATAAATGTTAATAATAAATGTTTTATTTGTTTAATTTTTTCAGATGTTTGAACCGTACTCAAGTAGATAATAGTAAATTAAAATTGAGGTCAATAAATACCATATTAATATATGTTTGACCGATTTTTTTTATGTATTAAAGATCATTCATAGCAGAATTTATTTGAGTAATAAATACACAAATATTGTATATGCCTATTATTACTTGATGAATGTATAAATAAAATAAATGATAATTGTATTTCATAATACTAATATATCTCTGTTCCTGACCAATATCCGTTATATAATACTAAATAACCAATGCTAAATAAGTTTTCACTTCTGACGTCACACCCTTTTTTTAACAAAAATGTTTTCTGCATTATAACTACATAATTATTTTTTAATTTATTTCTAGCGAATGCGGATAATCTACAAGCTGACGCGGAAAACGAGACTGTCGACCAAGAAGTAGAAGATTTTCTTACGGCTGTAAAAAAATGTGGTAGAATAATTCCTCCCGCTACGACGATACCTAGATTTAAAAAATATAACGTAGAAGATTTTGATTTCATGAAAGTTCTTGGAAAAGGAAGTTTTGGAAAGGTAATAAGTTTTCTGTGGCGCGTATTTGCGAAATGTCAATGGGTCAACATTTAAAAACTAAACGAAAATGAAAAGCACAACTGTAGAATTATTAGTAAATTTGCAAAATATATATCGTGATTTATTTGTGAATCACACTGTAACAGTAAATATTTTAAACTGTCTCTTTTTATTGATATCTGACCAAAACTTACATGTGCTACATAAAGTCAATTTAGCTTTTGAAATTGAATAAAAAATAAATAAAATCAGCAGTTCTCTAGTTTAACGCCCTGTATCTCAAAAACTAGTCATAGTAACTGATTTAAAATTCACATCTCATAAAAAGGTGATAAAAGTATTATACAGGGTGTTTCATTGGTTAATGGGTATATGTCACCTAGGTAGTCCCAAAAAACCCATACTTCATGGGTCTGTCGCCCTTTATACCCGAGATACAGAGTGTGTTATCTTTTTGCCGATTTCTTTCTACGCTCATAACTTTTGAAACACGCTGTATGTTTATTTTATATTTGGTATACAAGTACACCTTAATTTATCAAATCCAGTGACGTATTATTAATAGGAAAAATCCAGGTCGGTATTAACAAAAAATTTACAAATTTTTCGATACCTAAAGCAACACCCTGTATATCATAATTTTGAATATCTATTTACATTTCCGAAAGGAGCAGAAAAAATGTAGTTACACAAAGTGTTTTTGGTATTTCTGCATAGTTTTCTAACTTATTAATTTGAGTCAAATCTAAATGTTTCGATAAAAAGATGAAATAAAATAAAAAAATAGTAGTTTGTGTAACAAGAGTGGATATGATGGTCATATCGCACGAAGATAAAATTTGAGCCCGTCGCCGTAGGCGGAGTGCTCAATCATCTAAGAGCGATGTGGACAATCAACTCGAGTTGCACATTATATTTTGTCTACTATCCACTAACGAAAATTTACAAATAAAAAAAAAAATTAGGTTATTAAAATAAAATAACTTATTTTAAAATAATTTGTCACTTTTAATAATTTTTAAAATAAAATAAATTATAAAAAAGCAAAAATATTCACTTTATTTTTATCCATCTCAGAATCGAACTCCAGTCTTCCACGTGGAAGACAAGAATGCTAACCACAGGACCATCTATTCTTTTATTTTTGATGCTTTGACACTCGTAATTAAATTGACTTCATACAGTTTTATTTAAATTAACAAATTATTTATAATTATAGATGAAATAAAAACAGAAATGCTATTATTTATCGATTCTACACAAGAATAACCTATTTTAATGTATGTTCAATCTCAATAACTAAAAAGTATACTGACAATTAGTTTGACAGAATTGTCACTTATTTAAAATTTTAAAAATAATAGCAGTCGGTTGATCAAAATATGAACGGTGATTGGTGGGTTTTATTTTTTGCAGTGTTCTCACTACCTAAAATGGATATGAAATATATTCGTTTAGTTGAAGGCAATAGCATACTTTTTCGTTTTCTAATATGTGCGTAGATAAGCTAATATTAACCTTGTTCATTCTTTTAATTTTTGGATCTCAATTTAAAAAAAAAAACGAAACAACAGGTCTGTATTAGGTATAAAATTCTTAAAATTCTAATTTCAATACTAATGAAACGACCTGTACTTGTAACGATAGATTGGTAATATTTGTTTAAAATGTAAATAATACACATAAGAAAAGGTAAACACTTACATTAAAAAAAACACACAATTTTGCTTTGAGACACATTACAAATTATTATGTAGAACAATAGAAACTTTTTAATAATACAACAAAAATAAAATAAAAAATATAAAAAACAACTATAACAGTTGCTCAAAATGACCCACCGTTTTCTTTAATACATTTCTGAGCCCTTTTAGTGAGATTTCTTATTGCTCTAATAATCATAGCGGGATTATTTCTCGATTCTTTGAGGGACCTCTTGCAGGCCAGTTATGAGGTCTACCTCTGCCTATCCAATGATTTGGAAAGTTATCATTTAGAACGTTTCTCACTGCTACCCTGAAATGAGGCGCAGCCCCATCATGTTGGATGTACATTCCTCCAATGTCAATACCTGTATCGTCTAAGAGTATGGGTAAAACATCTTGCAGGAATTCTAAATAAACCTCACCAGTTAGTCGACGTGGTAAAACATGCGGTCCAATCAATCGGTTGTTAATAACACCACACCAAATATTAGCAGAACATCTTATATGTGAGAGTGTTTATCTTATGGCAAACGGATTTTGTTCTGACCAAATATGAGCATTTCTTGAATAATAATATCGTCTCTGGTAAACTGAGCCTTATCGGTAAACAACCTGTGTAATATTCGATTGTTTCTCAATAGTCACCTACTTAAAGCCAGTTGAGGAATTGATTCTCCTATATGCAGCCTCTGGACTTATTGTAAATGGTATGGATAGGTATTATTATTTTTTTAAACTTCGCCAAACGATAGACGGAGGAACATTAATGGCATCACTGATTCTTCTCGTGCAGATTTTTGGGTCGTCTTTGACCATTTCTAGAATAATCTTCATTTTATTGTTGGGAATTTACCATTTTCTTTAAGGTGACTAAATACATTAGAAACTATTTTGTCATTTGATAACCTTCGACCAGGAAATCGGCGTTTGGGCAGCTTTTCCATTACCACCACAGAATCCATACACATACAACATGTCTGCATAGTCATTATTTTCAAATTTATGGGGCATATTGAGCAAGAAATTATCAAACACCACAAGTACTAACAAATTATGTTCCACTGTCAATAATATATAGAACGGTCAAATTTTTTTTTTTTTAATACAGCCTACTTAACTATTCCCAAAAATAGTATTGTTCACTGAAATAATCAATACATACTAAAAACCATAGTATTTAATTACTTTTTTTATTATTTAGAGTGATTCCGAAGAATTAGGAAATTAACGAGTTCTAAATAAAATATTAATTAGAAAAGTAAAGGAATTTATACATAAAATACTATATTATTTTTACATTATTTTTAATATTTAAAATTTAAAATTGTTTCATAGTGTTTTGAAGCAAAGGTGTACTTTGTTCGAAATGTGTCTTTTTATTATTTACTTAAAATTTTAATTTATTTAACAAATATTACTTTTTTCACAAATATTACCATAATTTCACATACAAGGCGTTCAATTTAAAATTTTTTCTTCAATAGGGATCTGTTTTTGAATGTTTTAATAAAATTGGATTAAATAAGCAAGAGTATACAAAAAGGTGGACGATCTTAATTAAAGCTCGAGAAGTCAATAATTAAGAAAAATATTATTTTTTTTTTATTTAATTTCATCTTTTTATCGAAACATTTAGATTTGACTCAAATTAATAAGTAAGAAAACTGTATGCGGAAATACCAAATCCACTTGGTATAACTGACTTTTTTTCTGCTCTTTTCGAATATGCAAACCGATTTTAAAAAATGTGATATACAGGGTGTTGTTTTTGGTATCGAAGAATTTGTAAATTTTTTGTTAATCCGGACCTGGATTTTCCCTATCATTAATACGTCACTGGATTTGACAAATTAAAGTGTACTTGTATAGCAAATATCAAAGAATATACAGCGCGTTTCAAAAGCTATGAGCACAGAAAGAAATCAGTAAAATTGATAAAACACTCTATATCCCGGTTATAAAGGGCGACAGACCCATGAAGTATGAGTTTTTTTGGAACCACCTAGGTGACCCCTATATGCAGTTACAATATGCTCATTTACCAATGAAACATCCTGTATACTGAAATATGGTTACATTTGACAGGGGAAATTTTAGAATGTGGTTTTTGTACTTTTTTTAAATAGCTAAATATCTTCTAAAAAATAAATCACCGTGTATATTTTGAAGCTCACAGGTACTCATATTTAAATGCTATTACCTTTCCCAAAAATCAATTCATAAGTACCAGGGTTATGAATTAATACTTGACAAAAATAATGTTGTGTTGTGCTTCTCTCTATAGAACTCCCTGTATAATAGATGTGTACTGTATAATATTAAGTCGCCAAAATACCATATTATGTAGTATTTTTTAAAAAATAGGCTTCCTGAAGTCACAGTAAAATTAATGAGATTTGGCAAAAAACACCGTCAAACATTTGTGAATATTTTTAAATGTACGTATGTACTAATGTATTACTGAAACATGTAGTAAACGTGCGTATGCAGCCGGAATTAAATGTAGCTCATAAGTTTGAAAATAAAAATTCCCAAAAAGTAGGCAACCTTCAACTTTAACACACTGTATATCGAAAACTAGTCATTTGATTAAGTTGATCCAATTGTCACTTTTGGTTACTAGGTTAATTACAATAATTATGACGACCGCAGCATACTGTAGGGCGATGAGTAGCATTCCACTTCATTTTCTATTCGTACGTTTCCTATAACAGCCGCAGGCTTCTGCAGGGTGCTGCGTAACATTGCTCTCTCCTCTCTAGTTATTCGCCCCGAATAACTTAATTACTGGAACCTAGTTGGAACTAATGGGGAGGATCTGGACCATGGTATGGAGCTATCTTTCAAATGTAAACTACGTTGAATTTACTTCCTGCTGACAGTTGAATGCGGCAGATCAGGTCGTTGATTTTCTTGAGGTCGGTGTAGGGGCCTTCCCAGTTCCGTTGCAGTTTCTGACAAAATCCTTTTCGGCGCTTGGGATTGTATAGCCATAGTGGATCGCCTCTCTCAAAATGTGTCCCTGTGGCATGCATGTCGATTCTGGGTTCTGCTTTATCGGTGTGAGCTTTCAATAATTCCTGAGCGAATCCATAAACCTTCGTCCTGCCATTGCATAAATCATATTTTTTACACCAATCCGCTACATCCCGTCGGCAATTGACCCAATAAAATCTTTCCCGAAGTTGTGCCAGTGTCCTTTTAGTATCAAAGCGTCCTCCTGAACGGCTGCTATGAAGCTCCTCCAATACCTTTCTACCCGTGACCTCGGCAATATCACTTGGCGGACTACATGTACTCCATTGGGACTCTCCCACTTCCGGTGCAATAGGCCATCGTGAAGATACAGGGAATCCCACTGGGTCCAGTACCCTCTTATAGTTCTACTGTATTTGGCTATCTCTTGCCAAGTAGGTGGGATTTTATTTTTGACCCATTCTCGGACAACTTTTAAGTCATTGTCTTTCTTCTGTCCCTGTCTCAGACTTTCAAGGGTGATTTCTTTTTCGTTGCCCTCTGGCTTGATAGTGGTTGCCTGAAGAGTAACTTTATCCCCTGGTTCTTCTCGTTCTTCGAGCCGTTTACTATACCAGCATTGTTCCTCTAAATGGGGTTGCCCGAAGAGAATGTCTGCGTTGCTATGGAGACCTCTTCGATGCTCTACTTTCTGGTTATTGTTAGAAAGCCGGCTCGGTGTGGGTGATTGGTTTCTTCGGAACGCATAGCTGCTGTAATTAATTGTCTTTGGTCTTAGTGATGGGCTTGGAAAGATTGATCTATATGATTTTCCGGTCTCGTTCGCTGATTCTCGATTTATAGAATGAGCCATGCTTCTACAGGTTCTTTGAAGATGTCCAATTCTTCCACAATTGAAGCATCTCCTGTTTCCATTTTGGCTGTTTCGTTGCATATTTCGTAGGATATTTAAGATTTGCGAGAGGATAGCTTGGGGAATAGAATTAATATTGGCCTCCTCACTTTCCTGAAATCTAATTTCCCTCAATTTTGCGCGTGAAGATCTAGTTATAGTTTTTGCTGATTCGTATTCCTGGGCTGCAATCAGTGTCTCACTCAACGTCTTGTGGTGTTGTAGCCGAAGAGCCTGCTGCATTTTCACATCCTGTAGTCCATCAATAAATGCCTGTATGCCGATTTGTTCTAAGAAATCTTTAGGTGCCTGTGGATAGGCCAGATGCAGCAATCTTTTAATATCGGCTTCGAATTCTTGTAGACTCTCATTGTATTTCTGACTACGAACTTTTAGCTGGATTTGGAATACCTGTTTTATATGCTGCTGGCCATATCTTGTCTCCAACGCTTGGACAAGAGATGAATAGCTGGGTTCTTCTTGGGGAAGAAACTGTAAAACGGTTGCTGCCTGACCTCGTAGTGACACTATCAATGAAGCCGCCATCTCTTTCTCGGCCCAGCCATTGGCTCTAGCTGCAGCTTCAAACTGAAGTCTATATGTTTCCCATGTTGTCTGACCATCAAACGTCGGTGGCTTCAGGGTCTTGCTACTAGGATTTTGTGAGACTGGGGTTCGAATATGGCTTGGGTCGTTTATAGATGAAGACCAAGTAGTGTTTTCAGCTTCAATGTTGTTTACTGAAGTTTGGCTGCGAATTATTTTTTCTATCTCAGCCATTTCAGCTCTAATTTGTCTTTCCAACTCTACTCTAGCCTGTTCTTGTTGTTCCAAATTAGCTTTCAAATTCTCTTGCTGTTTCTCTATTAGCTTTCAAGTTATCTTGCTGTTTTTCTAAATTCGTTTTTAAGTTCTTCAAATTAGTTTTTAGATTCTCTTGCTGCTGTTCTAAATTGCCTTTTAAATTCTCTTGCTGCTGTTCTAAACTGGCTTTTAAATTATCTTGCTGCTGCTCTAAGCTGGCTTTTAAATTCTCTTGCTGCTTTTCTTAATTGGCTTTTAAATGATCTTGTTGTTGTGTTAGGAGATCTACTCGGCTGTTTAGCTGACCTACCTCTTATTTAAGGTTTTCTTGAATATGCAGCAAACCATTCATAATTTCAACCGCTTCTTTTCTACACCTCTCTTCCTTCTCCTCTTCTCGCCTTTCCTTTTCCTCCTCTTCTTTCTTCCTACGCCTTTCCTTTTCCTCCTCTTCTTCCTTCTTACGCCTTTTCTTTTCCTCCTCTTCTTCCTTATTACGCATTTCCTTTTCCTCATCTTCTTCCTTTCTACGCATTTCCTTTTCCTCCTCTTCTTACTTTCTATGCCTTTCCTTTTCCTCCTCTTCTTCCTTCCTACGCCTTTCCTTTTCCTCCTCTTCTTCCTTCCTACGCCTTTCCTTTTCCTCTTCCATCTTCAAAAACCATGCTAGTGGGCCTAAAGTATACATGCCTGCTTCGTACCTAGTGGATCTAGTATTTACCCTGAACTTTTACTTTGTATCCCACCGCTGTCGCCAATATTACGCAGCAATTATACAACTTATAACATTAACATGTAACGTCTATCATAAAACTGCCAAAATGACGTCAGGATCATCCTTATATAGCTTGCTTGAATAATAGGTGATCCTGATGTTAGCGTTTTTGCCATCTACACTGAAGACGTGAGTTCGATTTTCGAATGGGAAAAAATGAATTGAAATTATTTCTTTTTTTTTTCGATTATTTTATTTTAAAAATTTTAAAAGTCATAAATTATTTTAAAATTACTTATTTTATCTTAATAACCTAAAATGTTTTTTGTATTTGTAAATTTTCGTTAGTGCGTCGTAGAAAAAATATTCTCGAGTGGATTGTCCACATCGCACTCAAACGATTGAGCACTCCTCCTACGGTGTCGTGCTCAAATTTCGTCTTCGTGCGATATGTCCATCATATCCATTCTTGTTGCACAAACTACTGTTCTAACCGCATTGTGGGTAAACTACTATACCCATTACGCGTTATGGACAAAAAATTCAGACCGTGGGCGATTTCGGCTATTGAGAATAACATATACAGATGCACTTTTGTTTATAATATGAGAGTAATGCCTAACCAATCTATTTTTGACTCCACAGTATCTGCTATAATTTATTACCTACCTTCTGTGACACCCATGAAGCTAATAATACGAATATGGTAATTTTTGGATCGAAATGCATGGCAATATATTAGTTGTACCTATCATCGGTTAAAAAAACACATTTATTATAAATTCCCTAAATGTTGACATAAGTTTGGTTGACTGATTGTATATTCTGCATAATTTTATAAACGTGTTGTATGCAGAGAATTCTTGGTAAAAAAATATATTTTTTTTGTTAATAGGTACATTAATAATAAAATAATTGGAACTGCAGTTATATTTTAGCTGCCGGAGTAGAGTGGGCCACCTTAATGTTTTTTTTTATATTTTCCAGGTATTGTTAGCTAAATTAAAAGAAACAGAATATTACTACGCAGTAAAATGTCTGAAAAAAGATGCAATTGTCGAAGATGATGACGTAGAATGCACGCTTATCGAAAGAAAAGTCCTTGCACTAGGAACGAAGCATCCATTTTTGTGCCATTTACTTTGTACATTTCAAACTGAGGTATATATAAATAATAAACAAATTCAAAATTTGATTTAAATTAACCATTTACATATTTTTTAGTCACATTTATTTTTCGTGATGGAATATTTAAATGGCGGCGATCTAATGTTTCATATTACGACAACGGGTTGTTTTCCTGAAGACCAAGCTAGGTTCTATTCAGCAGAAGTAATATCAGGCTTGCAATTTCTTCACAGCAAAGGAATAATTTATAGGTAATTTTTTTAAATACCTTCCAGAATACAATGCTTGATCGAGAGACCAACCAGCAATTTTATTTTAACCTAAACAATATATAAACAATACTTAAAACTAAAATATATCACTCTTTGATATTTATCAGGTCATGACCTTAAACTTTTACTTAACACTGTACTCGTTCTATGCTTAAAAGACTTTCATTTAATTGTTACACTAGATCTGAAGGTTTTGTCCTCTTCAGTCTTCTTTTTATGTCATGTATATATGTGCTTTCGATCAAATCTCTTGATTTCTCTTTTAACCGTTATCATATTGTGGTCCCTGTGCTAATTTGTGTTTCAGATATAAAATGGAGCGTCCACGATGTTCCGAAATATTTTGTTCTAGAATTTTTGAATGCTATGTTGGTTAATCTGATGTAGCCTCAGAATATCCTAGTATATAAGCAGTTTGTTTGATATATGTATTTTGCTGTTTTCATATTATACCTCCAGTCCGTTTATTGTATTAAGTATGCTTCGTGTCCGAGACACCACTATTTACGTTATTAGTCAATTTTTTTGATTTCAAATTTGTAACATTGACAATGCCCAGATTCCTGGGGATTGGGGGATTGGTTCGGCAGTGTCGTTGTTCATTATTCAGCAACAACAACCATAGCTTGCATTTTTTTTATAATTAGCAAAACATATTCTTTATTAAGCTCTGCCTTCTGGGCACCTTATGGGAAGTCTAGTCTCTGACCATTACTTTCACCCCTCTTTATAAATAATGTATATATGTTCCGTTTTGTTGTTAATAAAAGTGTTAGTAAAGTGCAACGCATTATTTTACATGCTATATCAGGACCTGCCAGCGAACCTCTAAAAACGTTCACTTATTATTCATCTGGATACAGATGTGCTCCACACTTTTATTGTTGGTTTTATTTGTTTATGTTTACCGATTTTTCTTCCATAATTTTTATTCTTCACTTTCGTTGAATTTATTAGTGGCATTTTGTAACTTTTGGATATCTTTTCTTCTTTATTTATTCCTTTGGCTGCAAAGTGGCAGTTTTTAAGATGTTCATATCTGGAGTAAATATAAGATTAAATTAAGTACACTACCTTGCGGTTACTCATGCTTTTATTTGTTAATTTTCCTGAAAACTTTCAGCGTCTTTTATCACTTTGAAGAATCGATATGTTTTATAAGATTATAGCAATTTGGCATATTGTATTCTAAAAATGTATTTATGAGTTCTTCTTGCAAAAACTTATCAAATACTTGTCTAGAAACAGTGCTGAGCATACTTCTTTGTCTTCAGATATTTGGACCTGTATACCTGTGTACCTGATCCTATATTGTTTTTCTTGGAATCCAAATTGCTAGTTTAATATAAGAATTTTCTTTCTATAATAGTTTTGAAGTTCTTTCAGGAATAGTTTCTCGATGAGTTTTTAAACTCCTGGCAAGGATGGCCTGTAAGATCATTTCCTCTGGATTTAGAATTATTATCACTTAAGCTATTTTCCAGACTTTTGGAACATGTTTTAGTCTGAAAGCTGCATTGTTCAGATTTGACAGTTTGACAATACTGTTTCTTGGTTAACACTGCTCTTGTAAAAAGATCATATTCAGGATTTTTTTTTATTTGTTTATCCTTATTTCTTTGGTAACTTATCCAGAAGTAACTAGCCTATTATCTTCTTCCCCAGCTGTTTGTTTTCTTCTAAGACGATTTCCTTTGGTTGGTTTATTAGGTTGGAAGATTTATTTCAGGTATTCCCAACGACGGTTGCTTTTTGCTTAGAATTATTTGCCATTCTCCTCCTTCTTTTCTAATTGGTGGACCTGGAGTAATTGGAATGTTACATTTTCTTGTTATTTTCCAGCATTCTTTTCATTTATACTTTTACGTATGAGATGAAGGTCTTGTTCTTTATTTCTTATATCTCCCTCTTTAACTATTGGCTGAGTCGATTAGATATAGTTTTTCATTAGGATTCCTTGATGAATACCATTTCTTTCTAGATTTTTTTTCTGTAATTAATTTAAAGAATTTTCTTGTATAATTATTTACAACTGTTTTCCCCTATTTCTTCAATGACTAAAGATGATATTCTATAATTGATTTTAAAGATGTGTTAATTTTTACTTTAAAAAGCATATCCAACTTTAACAGTAGTCTTGGAGTATTTAAGAGCCAAAAAGATTTGTGATTATTAATAATGAGCAGCAACAATCCTCTCAAGTAGATGAATGATATCTTAAATTTTTTCTGAACATATTTTTAAAATTAAGTAAGGTAATATCTTGTTGACTACGTGATAGCCATGAAATTTGCAATTGGAATCGAATCTTTAAAGCTCCCCGAACGATGTAGTTTTAATGATGCAGACCTCTGTCTTTCTAGAAGAATAATAATGAATTTTTCGTCAATCTCATCCAACTATGGAAAAACATTGAGTTCTAACATGTCACAGTAATTCCCATTGTTGATGGCCCTTTCGGTGAAAAAGAACGGTATTAAGTTAGTCCATACTAAATATTTACTTTTGGAGAATCATGCAAATATTCAATGATCTTATGTGATGGCTCTAAAATCAATTCTACTATAAAAAAAACTATAGTAACAAATGTTTGAGTATTTTGTTTTTTTTTTTTTTTTTTTCATAAAAATTTACTTGGTATTAATATTCTTTCTATTATTATTTTAGGGATTTAAAATTAGACAACATAATATTGGACTTTGATGGACACGTCCGATTGGCTGATTTTGGGATGTGTAAACTAGAAATATTTTTAGATAGAATGGCTGAATCATTTTGTGGTACTCCAGATTACATGGCTCCTGAGGTAATTTTTTTTTTTTTATTTAAATTATAATGCTATAATGATGTGGCACTCTCGTGTCATGTATATACAAAAAATGTCCAGGTTTAGTGCAAAAATGATTATATTATAATTAAAACAAAGTGATAATCGAGTTCTCTCAATTTAGCAACAATACACATATCTTAAGAATCCTCTACAAGGTAAATCGATACTTTTTTAACTGTGTATAGAAGTCATTAAAATAAACAACTTTTTTAAATAACTTTCTGAACTCAAAAATAAGAAACTTACTTTAATTTATTCTCAAATGTATTCAGTACGGTCCTGTCTAACTTAAATAATGTGTAGAACTTTCGACGAATAATATTGAGCACTTTTATTTCGTTGTAAGAACCATTCACAAAACTGAACTCTGCGCGGGATTGAACATGTTGAACGTGAAAGGGATACAATTGATTTTTCCGCAATGTTGTCCACACTTTTCTTTAACTTACTTCCTTCCACCTTAATGTGATTTAAAGTGTATTCTTCTAAACGTTTTTCATTTTTAATTTACGCCGCTGAACAATTTAAATTCACGAATTCTGATAAACACGCTACTAAAATCACACCCGACTGAATTACAATAACCGGTACACAATTGAATCGTGATTTTTAAGAAACACATAAAAAACATAAAGTCTTACTGCAACTTTTCATACACAAGTTAAGGCCCGGATTTTGATTTTTTAATTCTGTATCTTTATTTTTTGTTTTTTTTTGAAAAGAGTTATTTGAAGAAGATTATTTTAACGACTTCTAAAAACAGTTATAAAACGTATCAACTTAGGATTTACCATGTACAAAACATTTTATTCCTATAATTGATGAACTAAGAAGATATTAACTTAAGCAAATTCTACCAGGGGTGGTTTTTGAGGTTTATTATTTCTTATTTAGAGTACGATTATTTATTCGTCTGGTAAAAAGATATAACTGCAGAAGAGAATCGATTTTTGATCTTACAAACTTTAAGAAAGGGTATAATTACTTTGGGAACCCACCAAGCTAGAATAAGTATATTGTTAGAAACAAATTAAGATAACCTAAATAAAAAAACAACAGAACCACGACTAGAACATGGCAACATTCTTTTAATCGACTAAGGGCCGAACTTTTCACCGCTGAGTAAAGTTACATGTACGTTTACTTGACAGATTAACAGTTTAGTCAGTAAGTAGTTGCTTTCAACTTTCCTCCGAGGTGAAAATATTGGCCCTAAACTTAGCCAGTTAATAGGGCTCTGTCCAGATTTACTTTCTCAACAAATAGTCATGGTGCAACGCATTTGTTAATTGGATGCTTACGGTGGATGATGATATGTTGGGGAACAAACATGCGTGCTCTTTTAGATCTCCACAATTAGGTTGCGGTTCAGAACCTCCTCGTACTAAAGATATTATTCTTGATGGATTCAAGAATACGTCTGATGAGTGTCTTCGCGATTTCATAGGTTTCCTGTTCCCATTAAGGATTTTGGCAGTGTTATATTATGTGAAAACGAGTTTCGCATCCCTCTTCATATTTTCTATACAAGGTGTTTCAGATTTACACGGACACAGCTTAATGAAAGGTAGAGTACACTTAGCTGAGTTCAAAACACCCCCATACTAAGCCTTTCTAAGCGTTTCTGAGATATAAGGTGTTTTATGATTTTTGCCAAAACTAAAATCGGTCATTTTGTTTGAAAGGCTTGAGATATTTTGATAAAATTTTGTTTAAAAGTTACACTCTTTTAGGTTAATCAAAACCAATAATTTAATTTTAAAAATTCCAGGACCGGACTCTCTTTTTTTTATATAGCTCTTCTTACCTAGAATATCACCCTGTATATCAAATTTTAATAAATATTACTGCACATTTAAATAGTACGTGGATCAATAAATAAAATAGTTTAATAATATTTAATGGTGCCATCTTGATATTCTTACAGTAAATTTTTATAATGGCGACTACAATATTATAAATCAGTATTTACAATATTAAAATCAAATATTTTACTCTGTACTTTTAAAACTCTACACAAATTAGGTACTATCTTTATCTTTTTCTAACTACAGCATTTTCCATTAGGAGCTTAAACATCTACACAGGACCGGGCTCACTTTATTTAATAAAGTATTAGAACAAACTAACAGAAACAAATAATTAAGTAATTAAAACTAAAGTAGATTTTCAAAATGAACACCGTGTATGTCAATACGAAGGTTTTAACAGTTTTTTCACTAATTTGTCAATTATTTTCGGTTTATTTTTAATTCTGTTATATACATTGTTAATTTTTTTCAATAACTGTGCTTGGGTATTAAGTGATTTTTTATAAATTTCACACCAAACATTTTATGTATGTTTAAATCGCTGTACTTTTTTTAAATAAAATAGACACAAATTTAATTTTTTTTTAAGTTCTCCATACACTTGTTTCTGGTACTTAGGTACTGCTTATTCATTACTAATTATTACACTAACAGAAAGGTGAACCACCTTATTCACTTCTCTCTTTACATTCATCTTTAGATAATTATATTTGGAAATTAAAATAAACTAAAACTTAAACGAACTAAAACTTTAATGAAATCAAATTTAAAAGTTTAAAAACCTAGGTATTTTATAAACGAGCTGAAAATTTAATTTAGTAAACTGCCAATATGCGCCAAATTACACCATCACTCATTCCGTCCTAAACATGATTAATGTAAAATTGTATAATACCAGTAGGCTTGTGTCAAATAATATCATTTATTTTATATACAGTATTTTGAGCTAAGTTACTTTTGTTCATAAGTGTAAGTTTCTAATGGTATGAAAATAAGTATTTCAGGATGCCGTTTCAATTTAGTAATGAAGAATATGTAGACATTAGTTTTGTGTTCGCTTTTTGTAACGGAATTGGTAGAGCAGCAGTAAGAGAGTCTCGTAGACGCTTTCCTAATCGCCGTTTACCAAATTCTAAGACATTTTCGCCGGTTTTCTAATTCAGTAAGCAACATGGACAGTTTTCAACTAAAGTTAAACATGAACATGCTTCGAAAAATAATCTTCGACAAGAAGAAGAGATACCTCAGATAGCTCGAAATAATCTTTCTATCAGTGTAAGAAGAATAAGTAATGAATTATCAGTATCGATAACAAGAGTATGGAAAACTTAAAAAAAGAAAATTTGCATTCATTTCATATACAAAAAGTACAGCGACTTGAACACGGAGACGAGGCTTATTTATTTGTAGATGGACTTTGGCCCACAGAAGAACAATATCGAGAATTTTATTTACTGATGAATCCCAATTTACACGTGATGGGATCAACAATACTAGGAATGGTCATATTTGGGCAACTGAAAATCCTCACACTGTATCACAAAAACATTCCCAATATAGATTTTCTATAAATGTATGGTGTGATATTTATAAAAATCATTTAATAGGCCCTCATGTTTTTGAAGGCAGATTAATAGCTGAAGTTTATATAAATTTCCTTAGAGACATCCTCCCAAATTTGTTAGAAGGGATTAATACCAGAGGAATGTGGTTTGAACACAATGGTGATGGACCTCATTTTCAAATTCTGGTCAGAGACTATTTAAATCATCGTTTCCCAAATTGGTCGAGGCGGTCCCGTCAATTGGCCACCTAGATCTCCAGATCTAACATCAATTGATTATTTTTTTGTAAGGCTACCTTAAATCAGAGGTGTACAACGAAGAAATGAATACCCGAACACAGTTATTGGAAAAAATTATTAATGTATGTAACAACATGTACGTAACAACATTAACCGGAAATAATTGACAAATTAGTGAAAAACCTGTTAAAACGTTCGCAGGGGTGTATTGACGTTTACGGTGTGTATTTTGAAAATCTACTTTAGTATTAATTAATTATTTGTTTCTGTTAGTTTGTTCTGTTATTTTATCAAATAAAGTGAGCCCGGCCCTGTGTAGATGTTCAATTTCTTATTGGAAAATGCAGTAGTTAAAAGTAAATGAAGATGGCACTTAATTTTTGTAACAGAGTTTTAAAAATACAGGGTAAAATATTTGATTTCAATTTTGTAAATACTGATGTATAATATTGTAGTCGCCATTATAAAAATTTACTCTAAGAAAATCAAGATGGTGCCATTAAATATTATTGCATTATTTTATTAATTGATCCATTTACTATTTAAATGTGCAACAATATTTATTAAAATCCGATATACAGGGTGATATTCTAGATAAGAAAAGGTGTAACTTTTGTACAAAATTTTACCAAAATATCTCTAGCCGTTCAAACAAAATGGCTGATTTTAGTTTTGGCAAAAAATCATAAAATACCCTATATCTCAGAAACAAGTAAGATTAAAAGCTAAGTATGGGGGTGTTTTGAACTCAGCTAAGTTTAGTATACCTTATATTAAGCTGTGTCCATTTAAATCTGAAACACCCTGTATAGGAGATTTGAATTAAAAAGTCTCATTACATTCCTTCCTGCTAATATTTAATAGCTGATTTTTTTCCCTCATGGATGGACCCTCTTCTGGACTGCCAAAGTCCAGAAAGTTTTATTCTGTTCCATTAGCACCCCTTGAACATGTTGATATGAAATACTACAAGTGGGTTCTGGTCTAGTTAGAATTTTCACAGCTTTCTTACTACCCAGAAGGTCTGCTTTCTCGTTTCAGGCACCTATTCAAGAGTGAACTTATTATTTTCTGCCAGTGTCTGGAGGGACTGTTGGTATACCAATCTCACTTTGCACCATTGCGCTTTGGTTGTTTGTCATATAAACACTTTTTTATCTCTAAGATAGATATTTAGCATGATCTGGGCACATGCGATTAGGGTTTGTTGCTTCAGCCTGGAAGACATCAGATTTAGACTACTAGGCTTCCTCAACTTCGCATACTAAATCCCAGCTAATGTGCTATTCTGGATCTTCGAACCATTTGTCTTATATTCGATGATGACATTAACACCGGATTTTTATTTAATTTTTCTAATATCATTGAATGTCCTTTTTCTCAAAGTTCCAGTCCAAATCCGTTTGTGAATAGTCTTTATGCTGCAGTCAGAGCCTCTTTTTCACAAGATGTAATGAAGGAAGGCTTGGCAGTAACTGTATTTTTGTAGTGAGAGTAAACACCTTGTTGTACAGCAAGATCACCCTCAAGATCAACATCAATCCAGTAGAGCTCATGTGAGATGCATTTGGAAGAACCGTTAGAGGTAGATTGAAATTAATAGATATTTTGGAACAATTGTTTGAAGCTCTAATAGACGAATTTATTATCTAAATAGTATTTCCAAAGTTTAATTTTTAGCATGATAAGACGTTGAAGATTATTTAGGGCCACGACCTCCATTTATAATTAATAAGAAACCGTTTTTCATTTTATACTGTTCGGTCTTTTCTGTATGGTTTTTTTGTAAGGTCTTTTCTGTATTGTCTTTTCTGTACGGTCTTTTCTTCACGATCTTCTCTGTATGGTCTTTTCTGTACGATCTTCTCTGTATGGTCTTTTCTGTATGGTCTTTTCTGTATGCTCTTTTCTATGCGGTATTTTCCGTACGATTCTTCCTGTACGGTTTTTTCTGTACGGTCTTTTTTTTATAAAAATACTCAACCTATAATTTACTGCCTTACGAGTGAATCCCTGTAGCTCTGAAGTGCTTGTACGGAAGTAATGGGTACCCATATTATTTTTAAGCTCGACAAATAAACAAAATAATTAACATTAAAATATTTTTCAGATTATTAAGGGTCAACACTACAACCAAGCAGTAGATTGGTGGTCTTTTGGAGTATTATTATACGAAATGTTACTGGGACAGTCGCCATTTAGTGGTTGTGATGAAGATGAATTATTTTGGTCAATTTGTAATGAAAAACCCGTTTTCCCCCAACATTTGTCTACATATTCAGTTGATATATTAAAACTGGTAGGTAGCCATATAAATAAATATATTTAAGTATAGGTAATGAGTCACTTTCTGAACTGTGCATGCGTGACCTCTCATCTGTCATGTTATCTGTCAACGGGTTGTCAACCTTCTATTCTTGCCAAATTTTAATGAAATTGGATGGAAAATTTCGTTTCACTAATATTTTTAAAATATTAACAATACTGCTTTTTTAAGAAAGAATGCAGTAATTACACTTTATCTTGAAAGAGTAAAACCAAATTTGGTAGACAAAACAAAGTACTTAAGAAAAACATCAATAACATTACAAAATAACTATTTAAAGTAAATAAGGGCACTTAGGTAATTATAATATCAATCAGATAACAATAAGATAGCACATTACCGGGATTATCTCACAGAAAACTAGGAAAGAGATTTAATAAGAGTGAATTATTAATATCTAATTGATCATTTAGTAAGTTATCTGAATTTTTAAATCTATTTATTTCAAGTGTTTCTAAATGGTTTAATTTAAGGCTCTTATTTTCTATATGTAAAATTTCAAAGTTGTCTGTAAAAGAATGATTTTCAGCTAAAATATGATTTGAGTAAGTAGAATTATTTTTGTTTTTTGTATAGCTATTATAATGTTCAGAATAGCGTTTTTTGAAAGTACGGCCTGTTTGACCAATATACAATTTTGGACAACTACCACAATCCATCAGTTAAACTTTCACATACATTAATTAAACTTATACAAGAAAACTGCAAATTCAATTCAAAGTATAGTATAAAAAATTCTTATGAATTAACAGAAAAATTAAATAACATTAAATTACCTAGTAACACAAAATTAGTATCGTTCGATGTAACAAACTTATTTCCTAGTATACCTCCTAAAGAAACAGTTAAGCTAGTAGAAAACTTATTAGATCGTAATCAAGTCAATATTATAATCAAAGAATAAATCCTAAATTTGTTAAACATTTGCCTAAAACAAAATTATTTTCAATTTCAAAATAACATCTACTCAGCAAATGAAGGTCTTATTATGGGGAACCCATTAAGCCCGTTGCTTGCAGAAATATTTATGGATAATATAGAAAATAAAATTCATAGCAATAATTTAAGTAAACATTGTCTGTATCGGCATAGATATGTTGACGATATATTGACTGCTTTTACTGGTACTAGTAGACAGTTAAATTCTTTATTAGTTTTTATCAATACTATACACCCTAATATTAAATTTACTATGGAAACAGAGAAGGATAATTCAATTAATTGTTTAGACTTAAATATTATTAAAAATAATAAAGGCCATAGTTTTGGGATATTTCATAAGCCATCACATACTGATATTACAATAAATAATAGTTCATCTCATCCATACAAACAAAAGCTGGCAGCATACAACAGTATGATCCATAGATTAGTTAATATTCCCCTTACCAAAGAGAACTTCACAAAAGAATTAAATATCATTAAACAAATCGCACTAAATAATAATTTTAATTCACAGTTAGTAGACAACATTTTAGAGAAAAAACTTTTTAAACAGGCTATTCAACAAGTTTATCCCATAATTAAAGATCAAAATTGCAGATATAAGAGTCTTACATATATAGGAGCTCCTAGTGAAAAGGTATCATCATATTTAAAAAACAAAAATATTAACGTAGCTTTTAAAACCAATAATACGCTTGGGAAGTATATTAAAAACAATAAGGGTAAAATTAATACTAATAATAAATCGGGGGTATATAAATTAAATTGTGGTAGTTGTCCAAAATTGTTTATTGGTCAAACAGGCCGTACTTTCAAAAAACGCTATTCTGAACATTATAATAGCTATACAAAAAACAAAAATAATTCTACTTACTCAAATCATATTTTAGCTAAAAATCATTCTTTTACAGACAACTTTGAAATTTTACATATAGAAAATAAGAGCCTTAAATTAAACCATTTAGAATCACTTGAAATAAATAGATTTAAAAATTCAGATAACTTACTAAATGATCAATTAGATATTAATAATTCACCCTTATTAAATCTCTTTCCTAGTTTTCTGTGAGATAATCCCGGTAATGTGCTATCTTATTGTTATCTGATTGATATTATAATTACCTAAGTGCCCTTATTTACTTTAAATAGTTATTTTGTAATGTTATTGATGTTTTTCTTAAGTACTTTGTTTTGTTAAATATTTCGTATATATATTGGATACCGAATTTAAAATAGTCACATTTGAAAAAGAAGTTGTACTTCGAAACATATGTCATGTTAGTGTTTTTTAAAAATTTTTATATTTTTAAAATAAAAGTGTGAAAATCTACCAAATTTGGTTTTACTCTTTTAAAATCAAATGGATTTTCATCAAGTAAAGGCTGAAACAATAAAAAATAAATTACACTTTAGACAAAATCGATAAAAACAGTTTTTTTTTTGGAATTGTGCCACTCAAATTGTTTTCATTATGTTAACCGAAATGTTTCATATATTATAATTATAATTTGTGAGATCGCTTTTCAGTTTATGAAAATGTCAGCACCTAAATGGTAAGCGCTCATTAAAACTGCTATAAAGACAGTATTTATGTACGTAGTGATGAGAGAGTCAGCGATGATTGGAAAAGCCTTGAAATCTCTATGATATTTGAGAAGAAAATAAAAAATCTTTTTGAATATTGAAAATATTGAAAATATTGTCATTACCAAAAATAGATTAGACAGGTCCGCTTTAAGGATCAAATCATAGTTTAGAATCAAATTAAACAAATAAATATATTTTTTTAGCTAATGGAAAAGGATCAGGCGAAACGATTAGGGAATAGATTTTGTGAACATGGGCCTATACGGGAACATAACTTCTACAGAAGCATAGATTGGGCTGATTTGGAAGCAAGACGAATAGAACCGCCTTTTAAACCGTATCTAGTAAGTAAATAATTATAAAGCGATGTTTCTTTCTAATTTTGATATATAAACCAAAGTATGCATTTAGAAATGTGAAAATGAAAACCCCCAAAGCCCAACTAAACCAAAATAGAATTGAAAAATGTCAGAATTTGTTTTTCCCCAGGGATCGAACCTGGATCTCCGAGTTTACGCGTCGATGTCTTACCAATTAGACTATCGCGGCACATAGTTACTACAGTCAAATTGGCAAATTTGAAGCCAACAGATTCTAACTGTAGTAGGTACACACACTCGCTCCCCTGTATCAAAACTCAATAATTACAATTTGGACAAAAGTTTATTAAATATAAAAATTACTGCTGTGCTGATATTTTATTTCTCTATTTCAGGTCCATCCTCTTGATACCCAATATTTTGATACACATTTCACCAAAGAAGCCGTCAAGCTTACAGCCACGGAAGGTCCAGTCGTGGTAACTATCGACCAATCTCAATTTCAAGGGTTTAGTTATACGAATCCAAACGCATGCGACAAATAGTGATGAAAGACTTTATGTTATATGAATTTAATTTTGTTATTGAAAGAATTAAATAAAGTTTTTAATGTGTTTTATAGTGTAACATCAGCGATTGACTTATCATGCCTTTCATTTTTTTTCAAATTAAAATTTAACACATTTATGTGAATAATACTCAGTTGGGTTTATCCATTAGTTTTAACAATTTTTCATAGTACATAATTAATCTTCTTGTTTTTTTACGATGGTTTTAGTTAGAATCTTTTTATTTGTAAATAAAAAGAATTTGAGAATTTTATCGTGAAAAATGGCTTTCCGAGGATCTAAAAATAATAAATCTTTCTTCAAATCCGAAAAACTTTTAGTTCTGTGGCTAGCTACTACTCTTTTATTTAAAAAGAGTTTCAGAAGGTTAGGCACTGAAAGAAATTAAGAAGGAAAAAGTTTTATAGAACATTGTAAATTACTTTCTTTTGAGCCCAATTTTTATAGTAGCAGAGAATAGAATGGAAAATTTACACACACCCTCTAGAAATATCTGCCGAGGTATGGGTTTTATTAAGAAAAAGTAAATGTGATAATTAAAAGGATATTGTAATGCTATAAAAAACATATTTTTTATTTATATTTTTAACTACAGAAGATATTGCCTATAAACGATATAACTTGAGACATTCATGAATATGCCTGCTGCACTCTTTCACGAGTTCTTTGGGTCCCTGTTCTATATAGGAAATTACCAGATATACTATGCAAGTAGATCGAATTGTCTTTGGAAGGCTACATTATTAATTATATCAATGAGTTTCGGGTGATGGTTATCCTCTAATAATACTTCGGGCCGTAATTATTATTTGGCGTATACAGTGTGTGCACGGGGAGAAAATTCGTTATTAATAATTTACAACCAAATATTTTGCAAATTGGAAATTACCGACAAAAAGGGAATCCTTTACAGTTGGCGCCTTGACAAAACAGCGCAGAAGAAAATATCGCTGACAAAATAACGCAAGACAAAATAGTGCAAAGACAAAATAGCGTAAGGAGAAAATATGGCTAGGACAAAATAGCACAAAACAAAATAGCGCTAGGACAAAATAGCGCTAGGACAAAATAGCACTAGGACAAAATAGCGCAGAACAAAATAGCGCAGAACAAAATGCCGCAGGACAAAATAGCTTAGGACAAAACAGCGCAACACAAAATAACGCAGGACATAAAAGCACGTGTTAAAATATTCCAATATTCTTATTATATTAAACAAAAAAATTAACCAATTTACCTAACCTAGGCGACCTGAAGCCATCGAAGGTTGCTTTGAAAAACATGACATAAAATTAGAAAAATAAAAAGGATCGTAACTGATTGACCTAACTTCTGCGACTATACAGCAACCCGTCATGGCTCCAGGCTACACAGGTTCGGTAAATAGTTAAAGTTTTGTTTTTCAAATTTTGACTAGAATACTGGCATATTTCGTCACGCGTTAATACGTTTTACTCTTTTTTGAAAACTTTGATCCAAGAATGACTTTCTCCTTAGGAAGCAAAATCAAAGTTAGAGTGTGGAAAATTATTTTTTCTCTACTATTCACCTTTTGACATAATGCAATGCCTGTTGTGGTATTAGCCAAGGAAGTAGTTGTTTTCAAGGGGAAATGGTCGCTCGTATTTTGTATGACACGGTCTTTGATGTTTTAACTTTTTCCTTTATGATTTATTTTTAAGTTGATCACATTTAAGAATATGAATATTTTTCTTTTAGTAATTGCCAGCCCGGTTATTATTCCTCCTTGTTTTAGAGAACTAAATACCGCAGCGAACTTTGATTTTGCTTCCTAAGTGTAGCTGGCGTTACCATTTTTGCTCGTAATGTGTACGTTAGAGACTGAACTGGAGTCGAAACTGTCTATTTATTACCGAGTAGTACTAATAACAACGAAAACGGTCAAAAAATGACCTTCTCCTTAGGAGGCAAAATCAAAGTTATAGTGAAAATTATTTTGCATCTCTGCTATTCACCGTTTTGATATGAGGCAATGCCTTTTGTGGTATTAGTCAAGCGAGTAGTTGTTTTCAAGAGGGAAATGGTTGCTCGTATTTTGTGTAACACGTGACACGGTCTTTAAGATTTTCTCTTTTTCCTTTACGATTTATTATTGTACTTATTTCTAAATAAGTTCTGCATGTTTTAAGTGATAAATTATTAAATTTTATCTATAATAAAATGCAAATTATTTATGACCAAATTCGATATGGTTTGTTAAATGGTGAAATTTGGTAAGTACAATTTTGTGGCTATTTTTTTTTGAGTTTTAATAGCCAAATAAAACACAGTTAAAAGATTTTTTATTGTTATAACACAAATATAAAAGGAGATTCGGGAATATAAATGGTATTGCCTCATGCTGTAATTTTGGCCTTCCACTTTTTATTTTGCTGACAGTACCATTTATAAAAATAATATTTGGAAACATATCCTAAAAAGTGTAGTTGGATACAGCAACATTTCCAGAAAGTCCTTTATCAGCCCTGCGAATGATATGCTACCACTGTCCTAAACGTTTAGGATTGTTTAAAAAACATTTACAATGACAAAATTGGGGTTTAACAAACTATAATAGTAGTAACTCTTTATCTAACATTAAAACTCTGAAAAAACATTTATTTTTCTAGTTAAATGTAATATTTAATTATTATTGTTGTTTGTAAGTGAGGATTTATAATTGTAAATTTTATATTAAAGAAATCTAAATAAATAAATAAAATAAAGTCGGGTTGGTTACACCATTTATAACTTAAGAATGACTACACCGATTTTAATGATGTCTTATTTATTGGATTCCACCCTGAATCGCAGAATATTAAAATATCGGAAAAATTAACGGAAAAAATTATACAGAAATTTAATTTTTAAATAAATTAGGTTGGGAACTTCGCCATCTTCCGCAATTGGCAACTTTCGTTACGCATGCTTATATCTTTTCTAGAAATATATTAAAATATATAGAAAGTACTTGAATAGAAGTGTAAAAAAAATATAGAAAAGAAATGACAACTGTCAAAGCGATTGGTCTCAATCATTCCTAGATGATTCAGTCAATCAGTCGTTTGTACCACAAAATTGACAATACAGAATATACGAGAAACTCTCGACACATTTCAATGCTGGTGCCGGTCAGTATATAAGCTGTAAGTCACGAAAGTGTAAATTTCTTTTGTTTTATGTTGTTTATGATTAGTTTTGAAAAAGGTATATAAAGGTTGTCGGTCAATTTGTTTGTTTTGTGCGAGTGTTATTTATAAATCTTATTGGGCAAGTATTATTATTAATAATCCTGCGACCCAGAAAATTCAATCTTTCTCAAAAAGGCCGTAATGCAATTAGGCCTCGAAACATTACGATTCAATCTAATGAAGAAGAACGAGAAATCGCACGAGAACAACGCCGCGTTAAAAAGGCCCGATTTCGTACTTCTCAAACACAAGAGCAAAGAGCGACAGCCCGTGAAACGCACAGATTAACAACGAGACCCGCAGAAAGAAATGCTTTAAGTTATGATTTGAATCGAGCAGCGTTTCTGTACCATTGAACAGTGGCGGATCCAGGGGGGGCTAGAGGGGCTATAGCCCCTCCCATTGGGACATGAGAAGACACTACTAAAACCAAATTTAAAAATATTTACTTATTTACATAAATTACATTGCAAACATAATGTATTAAAAATCGGATAAAAATCAATCACCCAATGTATTAGAAAAAAAATTGGCGGGTTTAAGAACACAAATGCAAATCGGCAACGCCTCAGAATTACTTTACCGATTATTCGACCGCGCAGGACCTAGCGGGAGATGCCTACTGACGCCCGCCCGGTCCAGCACTTCCAGTTGTGGTTTTGTGCAGTTGTGTAAGTTATGTTGCCGTTGCCAGTAGCCTGCCAATATTCGACTAGTCTATAAACCGAAACCGCTAGATGACAAAGAGCGAGAGCCAAAACGATTGAAGGAAACGGAATCAGATGCTATTCCAAGTATATCTGGATCTAATTTGCAGGTAGGCGGAAGGCAGGATAGGCCTCTAGGAAAAAGATTGAATAGGTATTTATTTATTTTATTTATTATTTACAGGAACAAGATTTGTTATCGTACGATATAGGCCTCGCGGTAGATAAAAAAATGTTGAACGATAATGATAGACTAAAATTTCTGAAAGAAACATGGAAACCTGATCGTAACTATGTATTTCCATGTCAGCAAGAAGGCAAGCAGGTCAGAAAATTTTGCTACGGTTGGTTAGAACGATTTAACTGGCTATCTTACAGTCAATACAAAAGTGGAGCCTTCTGCAAAATGTGTGTACTATTTGCACCAATGGGTGCTGGAGTTGGATGTCAGGTATGGTATAAAGTTGAAAGGAAACTCTGCAATAAATGTTTTCACTACATAAAACATTTTTCATGAAAAAATTAATTGCGATTTGATTAAGGGCTCGTGCTCGGTTCAAATCCGTTTTTACTTGTCACTTTTTGGACAAAGTGAAGTATATACAGAGTGTTTCATTTAGTCCTAGGATTGATAAGCTGATTAGATGATTAATTCCTATTTTTATTTACAGCCTCTTAAAACGTTGGTAAATCAACCGCTCACAAAATTCAAAAAAGCTTTGGATATGCTGCATCATCATGAAAGCAGTCAATATCACAAATTTTCGGTTCAGAAGTCTGCCGGATTTTCTATAGTTGATTCTGGCAAAAATGCAAATATTGTTCTTTAGCTTGACCAAGCAAACTTAGATATCATTGAGGCTAATAAAAAAAGATTGAGACCAATAGTGAAAAGTATAATATTCTGTGCTCATAACAATATACCTCTAAGAGGCCACAGAGATGATGGAGAGTTGGTGGTTCAAAAGTACCAAAATACAGTTATTCCTAATAACCAAGGTGTGTTTAGAATTTTATTATTATTTCGCTTAGACTCTGGAGACGTAGATCTACAGTCACATTTTAAGAATACTGGCAAAAATTGCACAATGATTAGTAAAACCGTACAAAATGAAATCATTGCTTCAATTGGAGAGGT